GGGACCGGACCCAAAAGCCCAGCTCCAAAAACCGGTCTTAGGAGGACCGGTCCCAAGAGGCCTAGTCCCAAAACAGGACCAGGCCTAAGGGGAGGGCCGGGCCCTCTCCAAGGCCCGGGCCCTCCTCCAAGGCCCGGGCCTGGGCCCAAACTTTTTTTACTTTTATCAATTTGTCCTTTGTAAAATTACGTTAAACCCCTAAAATAAGTATAAATTGGACTAAAATAAAATTTTACAAAATTTATTAAAAAAAAAAAAAAATTAACCATTGGCTACCAATGGTAACTGACACCAACGGTTACTTTATTAATATAAGTTTTTTTTTTTTTTCATTTTCCCCCCACAACTACACTATAAATAACCCTAAAACGTTTAATTTTTTCCACACCAATCAATCTCTCATTCTTTCATTCTCTCAACCTCTACTCCAAACTCTAACAATTCTCATCAATTTATATTTAATATTATTATATTATCAATTTTTTTTTCTATTTTCAATATCATCATAATTTCATATTATTATTTTTTCTTTCATTTTAATTATTATTATTTTATCATAAATTTATAATGTCTCCTCAAATGAGTTTTACGTTCCATCCACCGAAGAATTGAGCCTTCAATCCATTTCACCATTTCCTCCAGAGGATGTAGCTGTAATTCCACAACCACATTCGGCCGGGACGAGGTGTAGCCAAACACATGTGGACTGCAGTCAACGGGCCGACATACCCAACCCCCCCGACCGTCAAAGAGTTCGTGTCCGATGTCTGCGATACTTCACCAAATCAAACGGCCAAAGACAAATGGGGAGGGGGAAAATCGTGTGGGATATGTAATTATGTGGAACCATTATTGGGGTTGAGAAGGGGACTTTGACGATGCGACGACACGTAAGAAGAAGCTCCCCAAATAAATGCATCTTCAAGCGATCATAGACAATTCAATCAACTTAATTTTAATCCACATCCTCAACTCTCTCAACATGGCAATACAATACACAGTTGCACGAGAGGAAATAGCAAGATATTAGTTGCTACGGACTCTCCCATTTGTTATCTGAAAATCCTTTTTTTGTTAATATGGTTAAAACTGCATTTTGTCCACAATACCCCTGTTAGTAACTACGAGAAGAGATATACTAAAACTTTATAACTAAAATAAAATAATAACTTAAAAATGAATTTCAAAATTTTAGGATATATCTATTGCACTTACATCAGACATAGGGCTTGTAGATCAAAAACCGATTTTTTAACTGTTACAGTACTTTCTAGATCAATTGGGGTTTAGAACAAAAATTGATAGGTTTTAAAACCTTATAAAACATAGTGCTGAAACCTATTTATTTTACGATTCTTGAAGTTTTGCAAGAATATTTATTAACTGATAGTTGTAGCGCTAACGCTTGATAATGCAGTTGCTAACACCGCACAATACTTTATTTGAAAAGAAATTGGATCCGCTTGGTAAGGCAATTTTATCACCAGAGATGTGCTTGTCACATCTCAATTTGATAGTTAAAGCAGGTTTAGATACTATACATTTAAAGATTGAGAGGTGCGTGAGCTATCAGATTTATCATCGGCGGTAGCAAAAAGATGGCAGGAGTACGTCATATTGTAAGCAAGAGGACCCACCGGTTCGACCTTTGAAGTTATTACAACATGTCTATCCGTTGGAACTCTACCTACTTGATGTTGGAAAAACTTTGCAATGCGAAATAAATTACAGATTTCTCAACCGAAGAACTATCCAGAGGAAGTTGTCACTATGATGATTGGGCGGTTTGTGAACTGTTTTATTCATTTCTTAAAATTTTTATGATGCTACTAATACATTAAGTGGTATTTATTATCCAACACTAATTTAGTGTTAGATATTTTAGTTCAAATTGCTAAAACTTTTGATCAATATAGACATGATACATTTTTAGTGAAATTGTTTCAAGTATGGAAGAAAAATATAAGAGATATTGTTAGATATTCCATTCTTATATGAATTAGGCCTTTTTCTAGATCCTAGGTTTAATTATCCGTAGTTAATGGTGTAATTACTAGTTAGGCCATTATTTAGGACATGATTATCCGTCTTATTGACTGACTTAAACACAATGGATAGGCTTTTTTCTTTATATAGAACATATACTGGAAGATAAGTGGAATGGAAGTGGAAACGTCTAGGAGAGGCGATCAGGACCTTGATGTAGCCCCCCTCAAGGATCGAGCAGTGGGCGTATGTGGGACATGGCGGAAGCCCAGCTCTAGCTCCACTCGTACATACATAGACCAAATGAGATGACTCGCTACCTACAGATGGACTTGACCTTTATGACGATAGGAGCAACTTGACATGGATATTCTTCAATGGTGGAACCAACAAGAAAGCAATTCCCATTATATCCCAAATGCACGTGACATTTATCTGTGCCGGTTTCTACAATTGCATCCGAGTCAACATTTTCAACGAGTGGTCGGATTGTTAAGACAGAAATGTTCTTTAACCGATAGATGATGAAGTGATAACGTGTTTACGGATTGGACTCATGCAGAAAGAAGACTACAACACACCCTGAAGATCCCGAACTACTCGAACTCTTTAGAATACAGATTTGAATAATGTAACTAGTTGTGACGATGAAATTGAAGATGAATAATTAATAAAAAAAATTATTTAATTGTTTATTTGTGAAGCGTGAATGTGTGAAATGTAATATTATATTTATGGTAAAAATTAAATTAACTGTTAATTTATTATTTTTAAAATTAATTAATTTTTAGAAACTTACTAATCAACTCCTAAAAATACTAAAAACCCCCTATAAAATTTTGTTTCGCCCCCAAAATATAAAAAATCGAGGGGGAAAATAAATTTTTCAAACCCCATGGGATGGTCCTAGGACGACCTGGGCCCATGGGACCAGTCCCGACCAGCCTAAGGCCTGGTCCGGGTCCTGATTTTTTCTCATGGGCCTGGGACCAAAGAGACTGGTCCCATTTGGGACCAGTCCCAAGGGACCAGTCCCAAACGGGCCCAAGCTTGGGCCCGCAAGGGACCGGTCCCTTGCCCAGGTATATGTTGGTCTTGGTCTTGGTCAACAGGATGTCAGGGCAAAAAATCACATCACACTAATTTTATGTTGCCTTTAAAAGGGCATACATGTGCTATGTTTAAAGCAGCCTTTGAAAAAGCATATCTTTTCCAAGCACTTTCACATTAGCTTTACCATCAACTTTGATATCTCTTGCCACGTCACTTGTATAAAAACTTTTTGTAAATTATTTATCGGAAAGTATATAGTCATCAAAGGTTATACATTAAATTTTACACCGAATAATATGATAAAATCTTGACCGTCGATTAATATTAATTAAAAATAATCACGGTCAAGATTTTGTCACCTCATTCGGTACTGTAGCATTACTCTTTCTTTACATCTCTAACATTATTGATTTTATATTCTGTTCCCATCAAGTCTTCGTCTCCCTCGTGGATGCTTAGACTTTTCCAATATTGTTGAATGCTGAAAAGTTAAGGTAGTTTGATTGAGGGCATGAAACCAAGTTCCCTACATTAAGTTTTCTTCGTGCTAGATAATTTTCCAATGCATCGTATACACGCCGAACCCTCAATGCGATGTATGATTAGCACTTTCATTTCACAGTTGTATGTATATTGGATGTGTAAAAGAATTGTTCTATTACTTCAATATTCAAAATTTTAGTCTAAATATGCAATGTGGTCGCCTTGGTGATATTAGTATATCACTCTGTTGGAGTCCGCATCAACTAGACACTCTCAAGCCTACTGGTTTATAAGATGAGGTAATCCTCCATTCAACAAGACTTTATTAGGTGAGGAGTTAAACTCCCTCAAATTCTATCATGATATTGGAGCAAGGTCTAATTGAGTTAGTGCTTGACCAACGGATGAGGAGTTAGAGCCAACAACATCTCCATCACAAGTATACCTAACATATGGGCTTGACTGGGAGGGAATTTGAATTCCTACACCCTTAGACACGCTTAAACCTTTTGTTTATAAGAGAGAGTAACCCTTCTGCCATATTGGGTGAGGTCTTATTGGGTGAGGTATCTTCATTGTATGGACTATTACAATACTTTTTGGAATAGAAAATTTGGAGTAAGGTGTAAACACAGTACTTTGTGGGTCAACTCAAGTCAAGTGTTTTTGTCTTGTCTCCTGATCATGGATGATTAGACTTTGCCAATGTTATTGACTGCTGAAAAGTAAACTTATTATACTATTTTTCTTCATCCATCAGTCTTCGTCTCCTCAGCATGCTTATATTTGCCAATATTATGAGCTGAAAAGTTGTCGGTTAACTGGCGGGCATGAAACCATGTTATTTTCTGTTTTCTTCTCGATAGAATAATTTTCCAATGTGTCCTATGCACGTAGAACCATCAATGAGAGTGTGTCAAGTCATTGCACACTACACATGTGTCACTTATTCTACATCACTGATATTTATATGTCGTTATTGTATAGATGATATACTTTCCACCTCAGAATAGAAAATTTGGGATAGAACTGTACACACGGTAGTTTGTGAGTAAACTTTACTCAACATGGATGTCAAGTCATATTGTCTTCCTCTTGCGGCAGTTAGATTAAATTGTTTATAACACCTTCATGGGGTTGTTGTTCATGCACAATCGGAACTAATAAGCATCATGGCTAGTTCTCTCTGGCTAAAATTCATTCTTTCAGCCATTGTATGCTATTATTTCTCCAGTATCACAGCCCAGAAAACTTCGTAGGCACCCGCTGGTGCGGAAACACAACTCTTTTTTCACTCCAAATAGTGCCTTTTCAACAAACCTCAATGAAACTCTCTCTTCTCTAATCTCAAATGCTTCCCTCAGCAATGGATATTACAATACCAGCTCGGCCTGGAGGCCAATAAAGCCTATGGCCTCTTTCTTTGTAGAGGAGATGTCCCTCCTCAGTCATGCCAAAAATGTGTAAAGGCCACTAGTGAACAAATTTTAACCGGTTGTCCGAATCCGAAAGAAGCAATTATTTGGTATGATGATTGTATGTTAAGGTACTCAGACAGGGAAATTTTCAGTCAGATGGAAGAGGATCCTCAAAGATGTAGGTACTACAGTGGAAATGCTACGAATCCAAGACAGTTTAATATGACTTTGTCTAATTTGATGAACAGTTTGGCAATTAAGGCTGTGTCTTCTAGCACCCGTTTTGCTACTGGATATGAGAATTTGGAAGAATCTAGAAAGCTGTATGGGCTGGTGCAATGCACTCCTAACATTCATTCATATGAGTGCAGCATATGTTTGAGAGATCGTGTTGCAGATATTCCTCAATGCTGCAATGGGAAACAAGGAGGTGTACTTTATACTCCTAGTTGCTATATCAGGTTTGAAACGTACCCGTTTTATCATGAGGCGTCTCAACCAGGTCCTTCTCCACCACCACCAACAACCTCATCAACAGGTAAGCATTTGATTTGCAAGCTTTTAGATACTATTGGATTCATATGTTTACGATCGAGTTTAACATCTTATACCCACTTTTATATATATATATATATTGAATTTGTTCGTAGAAGGGTCATAATTTAGCTTACACCCTCTGGAAATTGTTTACTATTAAACCTATCCGTTTCCTTTAGAATGTACTAAAAACAAACATGTTGTTCGTGATATATTAAGGTTCTAACTAATTTTAAATTCAAAAGTACCAACTTAAAATTTATTTAAATCCTTCTCTCTAATATCCAACTCCACAAAATTCAACCTTGAACTTACAATTTTACTTTTATATCCCTCCACCAAAATTCAACCTGAACTACAATGTTTACTTTTCAAGGTTACAGTTTTAGTAATAAATCTAAAATCATTTATATATATAAAAAGAGTTCAAATTAAAAAAATAAAAATAATTTTTTTTAAGATACATTTATTTAATAAAATATGTAAGATAAATGTTTATATAAACAATATTTTTGAAGTCAAATGTTTTGAAATTTATGTATGAGATAAACAAAGTTTGGAAATTTATAATTGATCATAAGGTAATATTAAGATAAAGTCAGATACAGTATTTGGTAATAAGTTTTTTTTCTCCAAAGCAATTGAATAAAATTTTCAAATGAACAAAAAATTATCGGAAATCATTCTACATTTAATGATTTTTAACTTATTTATAAAATAACGAGGAATAAAAAAAATATTTTATAAGTTGGTAGTGAAGAGAGGGGTAAATAGACTTTTGAATTTAAAATTGGATGGAACCCTAACATATACTAATGGCAGTGTGTTTTTAATACTTTCGGAATGAAATAGATAATTTATACTACCATCTCACAAAAGTGCAAATAAATAGCATACATGCAATGTTAATTGAACAAATTCTTTTATGTAAATGCAGGACATGGGAAGATCTCCTCAAAGAAATTATTACAATTACAGTTCCTACAATACTTGCTTCTACACAACATTATGCATTTCTAGCCATGATGTTCATTATAGCTAAAATATGAATTTGCGTAGCTAAATGGTTTAGCTCAAATGTAATGTTTTATAGCTTATCGTAACTATAAGTGGCGCAGCTAAAAGTTAGCCATGTAACTTTTGCTTACATAGCTAACAGTTTATTTTTTGTATGAATGAGATTAATATGTAACTAAAAACTGGATGTTTTTGCCACAAAACAATAAGCTTGTACCAAAGCTTTGCCTTATAGTATGAATAGTTTAGTATAGCTATGTTTGCATTTTAGTACATAAATAAATTTATAACTGAAACTTGAAAATTCTTGCTACAAAAAATATTTTGGCTACGTGAACTTAAATTCGTAACTAAATAAAGATCATTGTCACATATACAGAGATTGTAGCTAAATTTAAATTTTTGCTATGGACATATAAAAATCATATCTATATATGAAAGATATTGCTATGGACATAGTGTGTTAATAGCTAACTATTGAATTACTTGTTATGAATACTTGATTTGTACTAAATATAATATATTTGCTATGGAACAAATAATTTATATCAAAAATTTATAATTTATTGCTTCGATTAAATAATTGTAACAAATATTGTTATATTACAAATTTATAATATTACAAATTTATAATATTTTTTATATTAAATAGATAATAACGTCGAGAAAAATACTATATAAAAAATAAAACATTAATAAAGTGATTTTCAACCAATAATTGTCTACTCACAAAATTTTCATCCTAGTATTAAACATGTTATCAACTTTTTTTACAAATATGAATGTTTCAATTCATAGCAACCTTTGTGACCATTTAAGAATTTTCACCAACCTGCAATATCAAATTTGAAAAAAAAAAAAAAAGATTAATCATATAGATCAATGTAATCATTGCATATCACTTTATGATTATGTAAAAGAAATATAGTTTTCATAGTATATAGCAGTTTTCAAATAACTTACAATTTCATCCAAGGGATTTGGTTTTTGTTGAAGATTGTTGACCTTGAGTTGTAAGCACATCACTGAACTTCTCTTCCCATCATCTCCTCCATTTGCCTTTCACTTTTTCTAATTTCTCATTTGCTTCTTCTTTGCCTCCTCACCCTTTCATTTGCTTCCTTCCTAGTTTGTTTGTACTTGTTTCATAAGTTATGCTTAGTTGGTCTATTTCCAAACATTCAGTAATACTTTTTCTTGGACCATAAGCACCAAATAGCCATTTTTCTCCGGACCAAGGACCTCTTCAAATATTTCATCATCATTACTAAGATTTGTTTCCTACTTTTTTTTTTAATCAATCAAACGTGACTACAAAAAATTTAAATTAGCTTGGATGTGTGTGCATAATAAAAATCAAAAATAGTTAAAGAAATACAAAAAGCTATTCCATAATGTCTTCTATACTAGATTCAGCTTGCATTCCTTTCTTTCTTTTGTGAGATTTCAATCCAACTTCAACCGAGAAGTATATATAAACTGAATCTTTTTTAAAATAAGGAAAAAAAAAAAAAAAAACAGGAAAGATACGGGAAATTAGAAACAACAAGGCCTCTTATTCATTTTTGACAGGTTTCTTTTTAGTTTATATCAATGACTTCCATGGCGTGAATTAAAACATTTTTATAATAAAATTCAAGTCAAACTAATCAAACTCGTCATTGATGAATTTTAAAAGAGAGAGGCAAAAATCATGGCCACGGAAACTTGTTTTGCTTTAAAATTAAATTAAACATAGTTCAACATAATATATACACTTCAAACTGAACTATATTAGTAATTGAATATGCATGATAAGATTTTTGAGTGGGACCAAAATCCAAATACAAGCTCCACTTAAATCATGTGATAATATTATTTTAACCCATGTGAATTTATATTAGATTAGTTACTGAATATTATTATACGAAAGCAACAAAACAGAAACATTATATAAATGCATCCATAACAAGGCAATTGATCCTGTACTTTGCGACAAAATTTAGATGCAATTGATTCCAGTGTTATGAAGAGAAAAGATGCAAACAGTTTTCATGTTCTGGATATGGGCTGTGTTTATTAAATTAAAGTAATGAAAGAGACTTAAAAGAGTTGACATATTTGTTGCAATATATTTTTCCAATGCTTCATCACAGATATCATATGCATCAACCTTTTCTCAACGACTCGCACTCGCACTACCTCAACCTAAACCTTGTTTGACTTTTCACGGTTGGGACAATTTTATACATATGTTTTTTTGCATCCATAAACAACTAAAAGCTCATTTTAAGAGAACTACTTGCTTTAAAAATGTGTGAAATTGGAGCTTGGGATTTATGGTTAAAATTCCCAACTACAATTAATCTAATAAGAAATTGGGTTCTATTAATTACAGACACAATACATAAACACAAATCTCATAACAAGTAAAACTACAGACACATCACGCAGAAACAAACACAAACACACGGCTACAGGCTTCTACTGAAATATACAATTACAGGAGAAAGAGGGTATATCACAGAGTCACGTTGGGAAACGAGATAAATATGGCCGGAGTCTGGAGATCGTTAATTTCCCCAGGAGTGCGGAGTCGAGTAGCAAAGAGGGGCAATTCAGCAGGCTGCGACACAGACAGAAATCAGGAATTTAGGTTTCAAGTTGGGCATTTGGCTGTTTGGATTTGGATTTTGGAATTGGTGTGCGCAATTTGTGGGTATAATGGTTTTATAGGCAAAGCTAATATTTTCAACATTTTCGGGCCAGTTTGTTACAATTCAGATTTATTAATATCTTTTTTTTTTTTTAAAAAATTTATATAATAAATTTCTAAATAAAACCTAAAAGGAATTAATGGTTAGAGGCAAATAATATATATATATAATATATATATATATATATATATTATCATATATATATATATATAAATTGATATGCTTTTATTCATATATTATTTGCTGATTTTATATACATTTTATGTCAATGTCATCTTTATATTTTTTATTATCTATATAAAGTCATATCAATAATTTTTTTTTCTTTTTTGAAAAGAAAGATTATTGTAACAGTTAAACAAAAAATACGACCAATCATAATTCATAAGAGATTTGTCATTTTTGAGTAGAGACACCATTTAGTAAAAAATTTGATCAAATATTCAAAGCAATATGAATGGTGATTTTAATAGACGATTTCTATGTCAATATAATCTTTCAACCAAAGTAAACATGTAATCAATTACTTTAATATTAAAAAAATTATACCTACTCGGGCAGGCGGGTAAACGCCCATCTCTACCGCCACTTTTATAGTTTGGGAAAAATATAGTCTTTCTCTATTTGAGTATAAATATGATTTTAATTGAAAGCAAAAATGGACTTGACCTAATTGAATAATAATAAGGTCCATGGGCTTAAGCTAATTAAATAATATAAGATCCACCATAAGTAAGATTAAACAAATTATCTATAATTAATCTTATATTAGTAAGGTATATAATTATATATTAATTATTCACATTTAAAAGATAAATTACATAAATTGTGATGAAAAATTAAATCTACATATTTGAAAAATAATTTGAATAAATTTACATAGTGCGGTGGTTACACAAGCTATCCATAGTCTCATGTGATTCCCTAAGTTCAATTTTTTATAAGCAAACTTATATTGTAATTAAATCATGAGTGGTATGAATCAATTGCAATTGATACCTGAGAACAATTTAAAATCACAAGGAGAAGAGCCACTTAAACCTACCATTGCTAAGCTCGTTAAGGATTCTTTTATTTCTTGTTCATAGACTGAACTTGCAAATTGATCTCCAACTTATGATTGTGACTTGGAACATGTAGCGAGTGAGTACATGGAGTGGGCTAAGCATCAGACGCCCAAACGGATAGCAATATTTGTTTTCATTAGTTCATATATCTATTTTTTTTTTTTTTAATCATGTGTGGTTATAATAAGTTATTAAGTAGTTGAAGAAACATTTGTACAGGTTCTTAGCAAAATTGAAGCGTTATATTCATAATAAAAGTCGACCAGAAGGTTCTTTTACAGAAGGGTATATTATAAGAAAGTCTAATATTTTGCTTGAGATATTTAAATTGTATTGAAACTAAGTTTGATAAGTTGGGAAGAATCTTTTAAGTTAGCTATTGGTTGAAGGTTTCAATTTACTATTGACCTTAGGGTGTGATTACCTATGTTTGACTCTAACTATTTAATTCATGTGTAAAAAAAGTATAATTACTCAAAGGATAATTAGAATATCTATAGCTGCATACTAAAAGGATTATAGCAATTAATTTTCACATTCTTTTTAGCTCCAAATTAAAATCATTTATAGCTAATACACACATACTAACTATATATTTAAACTAGTAGCTAATAAGGATACTAAAATATTGTACTACCATGAAAATAAAATTTGTATAGCTAGAACATTAATTAGCTACAAATTTCAATATTTTATAGCTATGCACAAAAATAGCTATATAGTTAAACTCGTAGCTAATAATGTACTATATGTCATGTACTAAAAAGTTTATAGCTAAAATATATTAATTAGCTACAAATTTCAATATTTTATAGCTATGCACAAATATGCTATAGAGTTAAACCGTAGCTAATAATGATCTATATATCCATGTAAATGAAATGTTTATAGCTAAATCCATTAATTAGCTATAATGTTTTACCGTAGCTAATGATTATAGCTAAATGACTAGTTATTGCTGCAATTTTAATAAGTTAAAGCAAAAGATGAATATTGCTTCGAGGAGAAATCTTATCACTAAAATATTTCAATTAGCTATATATTGACTTTTGTAGCTGTAAATATGTATTTGCTACAGTTTTCCATTATGTAGCTAATTGTCGTAGCTATATGTTTATTTGTTGTAGTGTTCATAATAATTTTATCCTTTCATGTTATTGTCTCCTAAGTTAAAGAAGAAAAGTCCAACATTGTAAAGAAGAATGGTAATATATAACAACAAAACTGAAAAGCAATTTTGTTTTATCTTATTCCAACTAAAACTAAATAAATACAATGTACTCCAGCTCGAGATGAAATTTCAGTTGTGGAGTCTTTACAATTGACTTGCATACTATTGATTGCCCCAAACAATTTCTCTGAGGAAACAAGATTGGTAAAGGTGGATTTGG